AACGCCTTCAGCCTTCCGGTCACCTCCTCGATGGTGAGGTCCTCAAAGTCGAGGAGCGTCTCCATCAGGGGTGAAGCCCAGTTAGGCCCAGTGGGTGCCTAGGCACCCCCTCAAATTCCAGAATTTCTTGAGGAATAGCTAAATTCGGTCCTACAGGCACCCCCCATGGCCCAAGATGAGGCAGCCCCACTAGCCCAACAAGCCCACTGCGCCACTTCCTTCTAGGCTTCCAGCTGAACCGTCGTACGCGCAGCGTAGGCTCCGTCCGCGAGGTACCTTCCAGGCGAAGCGTCGCACTAGCGCACTGCACGCAGGGGCGAATCCGAGGCTCTGAGCCATGGCGGTCACACCGTGCCGCATGCCCCTGCTGGCTGCTGCCGTCCCAGGCTCCAAGCGCCGCCATCCACCCGTCCCGCCGTCCTAGCGCCGCCATCCACAGTCCACTCCGGCGCTCCGCACCACACGGCGAGGACCGAGCGTCCGAATCGTTGCGATAGTCGCCTGACCGGCAGTGGCAGGAGGCCGTCCCCGCTCTGACTCAATGACTCCTGTGAATTTTTGGTCCTGTTCGTGGTCATCGCTGCCCTCTACGGCCTTGCCGGTGAGTGTTTATCCTCAATTTCATCTCTGGTCAAATTATTTATAAGTGAAATTTTGAACTGCAATTTGATTATGCAAATAAATAAATTATAGGTAATCATGGAGAGGTATTATAAACGGAAAGCTCCAGACACGATCGATAGTAATAGAATTTCATGTCCAGATGAATCAATTGGGATGAGGAGATTAAATATGACCACGGTTTGAGGAAAGAAATTGATGCTTATCATCCTAACCTAAGAGAAAAGGTGAGAAGAAAATACTTGGAGAATGGACCTTGCCAACCTAGCACATGAGATTTTCCTGTTACACAAATTGGAGAGAAAGAAAAGCCGAGAAGATTTGTTCCAGAATGGTTTGATGAGTTTGGTCCTTGGCTTGAATATAGTGAGGCAAAGGATAGAGCATATTGCTTTTTATTGTTTCTTGTTTAGAGAAAAGAAAGATGCAGGGTATGATGCATTTGTGGTTAAAGGTTGGAATGGTTATCATAGGAAAGAAAGGCTAAGGTCACATATTGGTGAGGTTGGTGGTTTACACTATAATGCAATGAAGAAGTGTGATGATTTGTTACAAAGAAAGCAACACATAGATGTTGCTTACAATCAGATCAGTGAAGTTGCTAAGAAGGCCTACTTTACTCGGTTGAATGGGTCCATTGATACGGCTAGACTATTGTTGAAGCAAGGATTGTCTTTCCGTGGCCATGATGAGTCAAAAGAATCCTACAATAGAGGAAACTTCATGGAGCTCTATGATTGCTTAGCAGAACATGATCCAATGTTACGCAAAGCCATGACTACAAATGCTACAAAGAATAGTTGTTAGTAGCTCCTAAAATTCAGAGGGACATTGTTGAATGTTTTGCAAATGAGATTGTACAATCTATCCTTGAAGAACTTGGGGATGATGTCTTTTGCTTGCTACTTGATGAGTCAAGAGATGTTTCTTGCAAAGAACAAATGGCTGTGGTCTTGAGGTATGTTGATAAATTTGGGATTGTGAAAGAGAGGTTCGTTGGCGTTGTGCATGTGACAAACAATTTCTTCCCACCTCAAGTCATCCATTGATTCTCCACTTGCAAATTATTAGATGAAGTGAATGAATTTTGTGACTTGCATGAAATTGATAAGAGTGGAAATGGAAAGTACATATGTTGATCCCCGACAACCTAGGAAAAAAATCAGGAATTACAAACAAGCATCACTATGAAGTGGATTGCTTTAATGATGCTATTGATTGCTTTAGTGAGACAACTTCTCAACTGCTTGTTTGCTCAGACGCTTTTAATCCAAGAGACTCATTTCATGCTTTTGATGGGGAGACTTTGATGACCTTAGCCAAGCTATATCATGATGATTTCACCAATGATGATATGAGGGACCTTAGCCATGAACTTCGCCTTTACATTGCCGATGTGAGATCAGATAATAGATTCTCCAACATAAACACTACTGATGAGCTCTCTCAAAAAATGGTAGAGACAAAGAAATATCTGTTGTATAAATTGGTCTATCGACTTTTGAAGCTTGCGCTAGTATTTCCTGTCGCTACAGCAACAGTTGAGAGATGTTTTTCGGGCATAAAGATTGTAAAAACAAGTTTGTCTAATCATATGGGTGATCAACACCTGAGTCATAGACTTAATTGCTATATAGAGAAAGTAGAAATGAAGAAAGTTAGCAATGACTGTGGTTCGTTGTTTCATGACCATGGAAGGAAAAGGGCGTAAATATGATCTAAAAGAGGTAATACAAATGCAATGCATCTACTTTCAATGGATAATTCTATATTTTCTTTGTTAAATAATTGACCTATTTGTTCTCTTTTCTTTAGGCCGGATCAAATATATTGCTATATGGGAGTTGGGACATCTTTTGTTCATCGTTTTGGCATTCTCTCAATCACTACACTACAGTGATCGATGTCGTCTTTATTTTGTTATAAACGGTGAGTGTTATTGCCCTTGTCCCTACCAATTTGATGTTAAAATTTGAGATTTGGTCATGCTACTTGTTTCAACATCACATGGGTCACTATATTCATGATGAAGTTGTGCACACCCCACTCAATTGCTCTAGCTTCGCCACTGGTCTCCATCACCAGCGCGATCTGGGAGTACTTCGGGACAACGCGCAGAAGCTTCTCCACCGCCCGCGCCTCCATGAGATCGTCGTCGCCGTGGCGGGCCATCAGACTGGAGAGGCGAAGAGCAAAGTCGTCAACTTCCTCACTGGGGCGGAAAGCCAGGCGATCCCAGTCTTGGTGGAGTCGCTGCAACGTCGCCCGGCGGACACGATCAACGCCGACGCGTGCTACAGCGATGGAGTCCCACGCCTGCTTGGCGGAGGCCCTGTCAGCGAGGGAAGCTCCCAGCTCTGGAGGGACGGCGGCAAGGATAGCCTCTAGCGCCTGCCGTTAGTCATGGAAGTTGATGACGACGCCATCGATGGTCGTCCTAGAGCTGTCGGGCCTACATCTTGACCTTCATCAGCAGAGACCACTCATGGTAGTTCGTCTTGGTGAGCATCGGCCACAACATCCCTACTCCTGAGTCCTTGTAGATGGTCTGCACCACCAGCGACTGGCCATGGCGCCCTCAACATCGCTGAGGTGACCGTGACTCGTGTCGCGATGGCAGCTACTCCATCTCCGCGAGCAGAGCCTCAACAGCAGCCGCTGCAGCCTGGGCTGCGGCCGTTGCCTGCCTGGCCTTCTCGGCCACATGCGCAACTGCCGCCTCCGCAGCGGCGTCTGGCACCACCGCGCAAGCGGCTGCGGCAGCGCGGGCTCTGGCGCTTACGGATCCACCGGAGAGACCGGAGTGGTTGAACATGGTGGCTCTCAACTCTCCCAAGATAACCTAGGCTCTAGATACCAATTGTTGGCCAGGTGAACACACAAGTGAACTCTGATTTGTGAACTGCCTGAGGGCAACTTGGCCTTAGCCACTTATTCTCATTATATAGGAATAGGAAAAGCAACTTGGTTTACAAGAAAACATCTTCCCTGCTATAACATATTCTAACCACTAAAATGGATGCTCAGCATATTCTAGATATTAGAGTAGCAGCTGAAAACAGCTTGACAGGAAACAGTAAATAGCTAAATAGTTAACTAGATACATAGAGCAGCACTAGGCTTCACTCTCACTTACCACCCTCAGTCTTTTCTGTGGAAAGGTGATGAAAAATGCAAATGATGGGGCACTGCTTAGTCAACTGGCCAACGGTAACCAGGTCCAAGGATTTGGAAGGCTTAGGAGTACCCAACCTGGATAAATTAGGAAGAACCCTGAGACTGCATTTGTTATGGCAAGACTCCAAACCTTGGGTAGGGACTGAGATTCCCTGCAACGAAACTGTTCTTCTCTTCAATGCCTCCATTGTAGTAACGATTGGAAATGGGAGAAAAGCACGGTTCTGGCACCATAACTGGCTTGAGGGAGAAGCCCCTAGAAACCTAGCACAGAACTTGTTTCAACTTGCTAAGAGGAAAAACAAACAATCCATCAGGAGCAAGTAGAAAATGCGTGGATTCGTTCCCTCCGAGACATCACATCAGCCATTCATGTTGAAGAATTCATCTCCTTATGGATTAGAATCCAAAACGTACAGTTGCTGCCCAAGGTGCATGATTCCATAATTTGATAATTTGGAAGTGGACGGCCCACAGTGTGCACTCCACCTGGCCAGCATACTGAATGCAATTCAAAGGAACCTACATGTGATACCGGCCAAGCCTAATTTGAAAAAAAAAACACGGAAAATAAGTGCAAATTTTTGCTCGGACACTCGTACAAAGGAAAATACTCACGGCAGACAACCTGCGGTTGAAAGGATCACCACACCAGGAAAATTGCATCATGTGCAATGGACCTCAAGAGACTTGCCTGCACTTGTGCTTGCTTTGCCCTTTTGCTGTTCTCATGTGGAACCAAGTTTTGATGTGGGAGCACTTCGATGTGAAACTAATCCAACATAATGCTGACCCTTCGGAGATCAGTTCTTGGTAAGAGGCTGCAGCTCTAAAGGTTCCAAAGGACCAGCGACGGCGCTTCAATGCCATGGCCATCTACATAATGTGGAACCTCTAGAAAGGAAGAAACAGAAGGACTTTCGAAAATAGCTTCCAATCGGCACAACTAGTGGCCTCAAGGGTTAAAGAAGATATCGATCTGCGTAAGAGGGCGCTAGCGGCTGCGGGGTGGTCCTTTTGCGTAGCCCTTGTGTGCCCCTGGTAGGGCACGGACCCGTGTAGTCTTGTTTTTCTAGGGCAGCTGTTGTAATTATCCTCTCAAGTGTGTAAACTAGTTTTCCCCTCTTAATTGAAAGGCAGAGCTCCTGCCATCTTTTTCCAAAAAAAATGTACGGATGATGCTATGCATAGCATGGACTTACCAGATCAGCTCCTTCGTAGGGTGCAGTAATTTCTTCAAGTTTTACAGAAGCATCATTTAACCAAGCATTAACAGAGTCCTTACTGCCTAAGATAACAGGCATTCTATCTGCCAGAAAATATCACACTCAGTTACTTGCTACCCAATTAAAATATAAACATGAAGGTAGACTTGCTGCATCAGCCAGTTGCACAAAAGCATTATCTGTAAAAATATAATATTATACCAACTTATGACAAGCCATAGACAATTGTATTTTCAATACGAATTCAAGTAAATTCAAGTTATCAAAACAGCTACTATTGTACTACAACCCATGCTGCAAAAATGCTCACTAAAAAGAAAAGAGGATAATGCATTCATGGCACACACAGTATTAGCACTGTTCAGAAGAATGAAAAATGTGTAGAACAGCTAATATAGTATAAATAAATGTTGGTGAACAAAAGAAATTAGGCTTCTTAACGCATACTTTGAGCAGTTACATTTAGCGTGCTTGTTATTGACAAGGTACCTACCCATTTTCCTGTTATCTTGAAGAGTATGCATGAGTGTTTGACTTGCCATAAACAATGCAATTTGTACAGCCATAAAGAAGCTACATCGCTAATCAGGAAACATGCTACTGTCATGAGATTTAACTGAAAGCTGAAGTCTCTTTCCATGCGCCAAACAGTATTTTTCAAAAAGGAGCATGGAACTAGCAGGATTAAAGCATTTACAAATTATAATCCACTAATCCCGCTAAATGCTGCAGTGAAGAACTGCATACAAGAGGATAACTTAATAAAATGAAAAAGAAAAAGAAAACATGTGCATCAAGTTGAATATGGCTAAAGCACGAGCAGTCATAAATAATTTTGAAGATGTTCAGAAACACTGGAGATAAGAGCAGATCACTAACCATGAAGCCAGTTTAGAGAAGTTGAGGCACGTGTAGTCAAAATAGTGAATGTATGGTTGATCTCTCCTGAGGTAAATAGTAGGTAATGCTGGATTATCAGTATCAGGGAGAGTGACATAATTTGATGCAGTATGGTCAAATAAAAAAGTTAGGCATGTGTATGCAGTATGCTACCAAGTAGAGCATCATATGCTACAAGCACTTACTGGACCAAATTTGAAGTAATTTGTGAAGAGACTGATAAATTATTACAGTTTTCAAGATTTTTTTTTCGTGAACGCGACTTCACGCATTTTTCATTAAAAGGATATACAGTTTTCAAGATATAAACTAAATCTTAACGGGGAATAGAATGGAGGCTATTGACACAAACACTGTGTTCACAAATGGGTGCCTCTACGTGTCCATCCTGCATCACATCTATGTATGCTGGTCCTACATATGTCCAGTAGTGCAGTGCTCGAACACATTGTGCTTTCCCATTTAGCACTGCCCACTTTTGGCCCATTGCGCTGCCATCTTCCTTCGACAGGTTCGGGCTGAGCATTACTGTCATCGCTGTGTCTCAAGCATAACAATCTGTAAGTGTGAACTGCTTTGTTCAAGAAAAAGTGTGCACAATTTTGCATGCAATACTTATCCAAAGCTTCACTATTTTTGAAACAGCACAACATCATGCTTGCCCCTCTGTAAATGATTAAGCAGTTACAGGTATAAAGACAGATCAGAGAACTACAAGAAAATATCAAACCCAAGTAGGTTAAAAAAAGTAAAAAGTATCAAGAACATAACAAGATATTGAGAGCCACAACTCCTCATGTTCGAGAACCACAACTCCTATGATTGACGGCAAAACAATAACTGAATAAAATAGGATGGGTATAGCATGATCTGCTCCGTCGAAAACAATAAACTTGATATTCAAAAATGCTAGTATCAAATCCATCCTTGACAAGTGACATACATGCAGAATAAAAGAACATATTGACTAAATCACCCAAAACACTCAGCCTTTAAATTCCCCCAAAAAAAGTTGGATTTATAAATTAGTAAATAAATATTTTTTGTAAAAAAAGTAAGAATATAATTATTGCAATCAGTAAGCATCCTAACCTTCTGGATTTGTCCACGTATCATACAAGGCTGCAAAGACAAGAGGCCTATGATCTTGAAAATGTATGTAGTATGGCTGTTTTTTTGATCCATTCTTTTTCCACTCATAAAACCTAAATCCATTACAAAATCCAACTCCTGATCAGTTAAAGAAATGTACTCAACAGACTATTTCTTCTTTCTAGGAAGTTACTGAATATCCAATTGCAAACTGCAACAAATCATACACGGGGCAAAGTAAACTGTTATCCATTTACAATTGGAGGGTTCAAAGTATAAAGTATAAACAATAGCACATCGTATGAGTGAACCAGAAATATATTTTCCATGTAGGCAAGAGGGATATGCAAAAACGAAATGGGTGTTATATTATTGAAAGAGTAAAATGCACAAGGGGTCCCCGAACTTGTCCCGAGATGTCAGGTCCCCAAACCCTTAAAACTCATTTTTAGGTCCTCGAACTTGTCTTGGTGTGTAATCTAGATCTAGATCCCAATGCCCAAACTTTTGAAATGTTATTTTTAGGTCCCAGGACTTGTTTTGAAGCCTTTTAAAAAAAATCATACTGAAGCTAACCAGATTAACATAAATTATTCATACCCCATTAGTTGTTGGACTGTAGTACAAATCGAGGCAGCTGTTCCAGAAAGTATCAGAAACATCCGAGACGGCAATATCAGTCGGACATGTCACAATGTTAGCATGAATGCAATGGCTTTGAAAGATATCCATGTCTTGTTAGGATTGGACATACATAAGGTGGCATCCTGGTTTAGGATGTATTCATAACAGGCTAGAGTCAAATTAAGTCAGTACCCCTTGCTATTCTAGACCCTGTACTGCTTTGGAGTCAACAAGAATAGTTAACTGTCTTTGTACCGTATGAACTATGAAGTTATCCCACCGAAGTCTATAGCCTATGTCCCCATTCCAATGTCCTCACTCCCTTGCAGTGTGTACACAGTATTTTATCTATACATAGAAGACTGAAGATCTGGCATGGCATAAATAGAAGTTGCAAAACTCAAAATCAACCATATTTCCATACCCTTCTACTGCAGCAAGGCACCTATTCTTTTGAATTAGTCGACGGAATGAAACCTTTTCTTTTACAGACTCTGATCTGGCATTGAACTGCATGAAAAAGAAAACTATAACTCAACTAATGCCAAAAAAAGGAAAGGACCAATTCCTGAATTAAAAAAAAAATAGATTCATGAAATATAAATAAAGCATCATAACACATCTCAGTCACACAGATATTACAAATGTGGACATGTAATTTGACACGAATCACGGCTTCTACATTTTGTTTGTCATTTTTAATTTTTTGTCTACATACTGCAACGAACAATCAACCTATTTGCCACTTCCTCATTTTTATTTTTAAATTTTTGCCATAACCCAACTTGCATGGATACTTTTTCCTAGCCTTCTTCTTCATCCCAAAGCTACCACCATCACCAGAATTCTACATCCCAACCATTAAAATCACTTCATTGCTTACACAACTGCAATATTGCAGCTGCAAAGGCGATGAGGTCACCTATGCAGAGATTGATCAGCGTAGGTCAAATAGTACCATATCACAGTGTTTCCCAGCATTTACTTGCCTGCAGTCAATAGCCAAGAGGCCTGTCTTGAATCAAGTTAACATTTGGAAAAAGAGTGAGATTAAAATATTCATTAAAGCAGAGGAAACTAAAAAGGGGTATGGCAATTCACAGGGATAAGTAGATTCAAGGTTGCAATGCTCTTTCAAAACTATAGAACCTACCAACCAATTACTAGCAGCACAACACTAAATCACTAATGTTAAGATCAAGAAGAAAAAAATTACAATAGAATGCCAAGCTAGAATTGTTCGGGTAACATAATCCCACTGCAAACGATTTATGGTCTACAGTTTGCTATCTATGCGCCGAAGCTTTGATAAAGTAATGCTCAGGTGTAAGAACAAGAACAGATGCTACAAATATAGAAGACATAGCAGCCAATCCACACACCATCCTGAAATGGTCGGGTTTCTCGGTCTTGCTGGTGAAGCTGGGCACCAGCCCCCACTTCATGCACTGGATCACCGGCCCCTCCCCATCCGCACCCCGTCCTCCGTCGCCGCAGCCTGGTCGTGCCCGCACGGCGCCCACAGGCAGGTACGCCCCAGGCAACACGTTGTACGACGGCCGGAACCTGCGCCCCACACAGCCAAGAGCAGCGAAAGCTGAACGCACACGAACATGAACCCGTGTACCCAAAAGGTTTGTCCTACCGGTCAAGATGGATCGTCGGCACAGCGGGGCCGTCTCCACCGCCGCCCGCGTTGGCGGAGGTGGTGGGGAAGCCGAAGGCCCTGGCAACCTGGGCCGGGCTGAGGGTGCACCGGGCCCTGCCGCACATGGAAGGTTGGACTGGAATGCGTTCTCAGCGCCGCGGCGGTGATTGATACTCGCTCTAAACGGAGGCGACGGAGACCTGGCCGGGGGATTTTTAACTTTTTGCTGCCATCCTTAGGCACGACACTCCTTTGTTTTGCCACTTTTATTCGCGTCCACAGTTACCGCCGCAAACAGTGAACCTAGTAAGTTTTTCTATTTTTCTGACATGACCAAGTAAGCACGCTAGCGTGACAGTGAGCCTGAGAAGACCTACATAACATGCGAAATGATCTATTTATCCCCATTGCTTCTCTTCCTGTACTCACTGACGCGTGGGCTCTCCATGTTAGCTTTGTCTTCAACCTCCAGGCACGGATGGGAGCTAGACACTTCCAGCTTCATCTCACACCTCCAGCACCTGGATGAGAGCTGGGCACCTCCAGCTTCATCATCCCTCCATGGCTGTCGAGCAGCCGAGGACGATGAGCAAGGCACCGCACGTGAAGTCGATGGAGGAGTTCTTGCGGCAAAGAGGGGCTGGTGGCAGCCAGCCACGGGTAGAAGCGAGGCTCTCCGGCGGAGTGCTTCGGTTGAGGTGGAAGACACCACTGCAGCCATGGATTGGCGCTGAGATGTGGATAGGCGGCCGCGGAGGGTCCTTGCGGCGCCAACGAAGGAGATGGGGAGGCGAGAGCTGCTGTGTATGCGGAGATCGGTGAGCTCGACCTCGGGACGGCAATGGCGGCGACGGCGGTGGTTCACGACGATGGGGCGGGGGTTGTCGAACGACAAGTAGCGGGGTGAAATCGTCATGCCACAGCGAACTCGCAGAGCCCGTTGGGAGCAGCAGAGACGGGTGGATGGGGGAGATCGATGGTGACGATGGAGCTCCAGTCATGGGCGCAACTCCGTGCAAGCTCGAGTCTTCTACCCCGCCTTCGTGGAAGCTGCAAACAGGAGCAAGCACAGGGAGCTTTTATGAGGCAGCAGCTCTGTAGCAGCATGGCCTAGGTGCCAGCGCGTCGCTCCTCCTCCCTCCGCCGCCAGAGCCCGCTCACCGTTAGGTCGCTCAGCTTCGGGTGATGGCTGGAGGTCGAAGACAAAGCTGACATGTGGGGCCCACGCGTCAGCGAGTAGAGGGAGAGATGCAACAAGGGTAAATAGGTCATTTTGCATGCTCTGTAGGCCTTTTCAGGCTCATTGCCACGCTGGCGTGCCCACCTGGCGTGTCATGTTAGTAAAAATGGCAAAAACATAGGAGGTTCACTGTTTGCGATGGCAATTGTGTCGGAGCGCGTATAAAAGTGGCAACGAAGGAGTATCATCCATAAGGATGACAAAAAGTTAAAAATCCCCTTGGCCGGAGTTGGTAGCGAGAATGGGAATTAGGTCGCCACCGATACCAAACCTCTCCAGCGGTTACTCTTTCCTACCCCGATGAGAAAAGGGTTTTTTGCACACCATTGCAAATTTTCAAATTTAGAGATATACCATTACAATTCGTCTACTCGAAGAACTGTCATTATAATTCCATCTCTCCTCCATCAATGTCATTTTCTACGCCTCCCATCTACATGAGCCCACTGTCAGTCATGTATAGTATAGGATAGCATATGGATGTTACGTCCTAGCCACCTCCGTTAGAATGAACCCACCGCGGCAGTGGAGCGTGCGAGGTGGAGCGGCGGCGCTCGCCCTCGGCGGCCTACGCGCGAGGCGGGCCTGCAAGGTGATGCGCATCTCGGACAGGATGGTGTTCGCCGGGTGCTAGAAGCTGTCCTAGAACACCCCATCCTCGCTGTGCACCTCGAGGCTGTCAGTGTCCCGCGGGCCTGTCTGTTGGTGGACTAGAGCAGCGGCGCCGCGGCAATGTCGTTGGCCGTCGTGTTGTCGAGGACGCGGAGCTTGCCGGTGACGTCCCCGTGCCGATTGACATGACGAGGAGGTCGTCGATGGCAGAACTCGCGCTAGTTGTTGAGGACGTGTGGATGGCGTCCACCGTGGGGTTGCCTAGCGCGACGGCACCGCCACCCCCCGGCTCTGGAGAAGAGAGGAGGCCACGGGCCCTTCCTCAGAGGCGCTCCAAGAGGTTGGTTGGGTGCACGAACACGAGCTCGCCTGTGCAGATTTCTTGGTTCTTGTTACCTTTTCGCAATGCTCACGATCGGGGAAATTCTTCTGTTATTGGTTGTGTGGCGGCAGTGATTTTGAAATGAGTCTGTCTACTACACAACCATGTGTTTTATACAGTTTCAACATATGAATTTTTTTGCACCATAGGATTAAGATCCAACAGCCTCCACCCTTCTTCTAACTCTAGCCTCCAACCTTCATAGATCACATATCATAGATCACAGATCATAATTTTTTTTATGGAAGGACAAATCACATATCTGCCGCCGCCGCCACCACCGCCATGGCCGGCGCGGGCGCGGGGAGGCGCGGGGGGAGCTCGCCGGTCGCGCGGCGCCGGTGGTCACCAGTGAGAAAGAAAGAGGGAGAGAGATACAAAAAAATCCATGTGTTTTTTTGCTCAAACACATGTGTGTTGTATAGCATTTCTGTTTTGAAATTCTTCATATAGGCATCGCATTCTGAAAATATGAGAATTTATTTGTGGTTTTTTCGCGTGTTTATTTTGTCCAGCAAAAATGCGAAACCAACAAGGAAATTGACCTGAACTCTGCTGCTTGCTGTTCTTTTGTATCTAGTTTCAACTTCTCTTTTGTTGTCCAAAAAGAAAAGCTCCGAAACAACACAAAACTGTGCCTGAATAACATGATGAAAAAAACTAAACCTAAAGTTTCTTGCTCTGTTTTTTCTCTGTTTGAAAGATAGTTTCTTGATATGTTTCTCGGACTGACATGATGCAGATGTGTCGGAAGTTGTGTGCGGATGCGCGAGAAGAACGGCGCCTGCGTCGCCAGGTCGTAGCAAGGGACCAGCACGGGGCGCACTGTGTTGCAGAGGAGGGGCAGCGGTGGCGCGCCACCAGCCCCAGGCCCCCCGCGCCGCGGCGGCGCACGCGGCGGAGGCAGCGCTGCACATGGACCGCCCCGTGCCTCGTGCACAACAGGACCGTCGCGTCGAAGAAATCAGCTAGCCATGCCGTGGGGCTGTCGGCGCGCCGCTGTAGCGCGGCCTCCAGGCGCACTAGCGCGGCGCTGTCCAGGAGCCCATTGGCCGTGCGCGCACCGCCATCGATGGAGAGGACGTACATCTCTCTAGTGCTGGCGGCTGCTCGTGGGGGCCGGAGGTGGCAGCGCTCGCTCATGGCAACCTGCGCGCGAGCGGAGCGGCTCTCGTCCACAGCGGGCACCACGTGAGATGGAGCTCATCGACGGCAGCCGACACGACTACGGTGACATAGCACAGAGCGATGGCAGGCTCATTCTAATGGAGGCGGCTAGGACTTGACGTCCATACACGGTTATGTACGTGTACTAGTCTGATAGTAGGCCCATGTACACAGGAGGCGTAGAAAATGGTATCGATGAGGGATAGGTAGAATTATAATGGCAGTTCTCTAAATACACTAATTGTAATGACGTACCTCTAAACTTGAAAAATTGCGATTGCGTAGATCCAAAAAACCTATGAGAAAATTGAAGCCAGCAATTCCCAAACCCAACCCCAACGGAAAAAAAATTATAAGTCCCTCAAATCATAGCATCCCACACCTCAAATAAAGGGGAGACCTCTCCTACCCCAATCCACTATTTTTCTCATTGGGATTGGATTTTCTCATTCTGCTAGAGAGAAGACCTTCAAAATCCCAAAACACATTTTTGTATCTCCCCCAAAATCTGCTAGAGAGAAGACCTTCAACATCCCAAAACAAGTTTTGTATCCCCTAATAACTAGTTTTTGGGGTTGGAGTTTCCTCCTACTGCTGGAGATGCTCTAACCTCGCTCTCTAAAGACGTGTTTGGTTTGCACCTCCTAAAATTTAGTCATCTAAATCAGCTTCTAAACTTTAGTCACCCCCTGTTTAGTTTGGTGGAGTAAAAGAGACTAAAAGAGGACTTTTAGCCCCTTTTAGTCATGGTGTTTGATTCCAAAGTGACTAAAATGTGAGGCAGCCTGACTAAAAGGTGAGGTTTAGTCCTATTTAGTAACATTTGAGTGACTAGTTGGCTAAAGCCAATTTAGTCCAATTTAGTCAAGGTGTTTGGATAAAAGTGACCAAATGAGACTAAATAAGACTAGATTTAGGAGGTGAAGAGTGAACCAAACACCCCTTAAGTCAAATTTTAGGCCCTGTTTGATCTAAACAAAGTCGTTATCTGCTAATAATTTGCTCTGTTCTTCGGCACTACTTCAGCAATACTTTTTAGCAAAGGAACAGGTGTTTTTCTCTCACAACAAATCAGCATAAGCAGCAGCAGCAGTGAAAGGTCCTAAATGGCTAGAGGGGGGTGAATATCTACAACTAAAACATACAGATTGTCAACATCTACCCGGTAAGACCAAAACACTCATACGATCCATATCCGGCAGGCAAATAATCACCGCATAGAGACACTGGATGACAAGTAAATAAAATAGAATAAAACTCATGGAATCACCGGTAGGCAAATAATCACCGCATGGAGACACTGGAATGCAAGTAAAAAATGGAATAAAACGGAAAGAGAATTATGGGAATCTCTATAACTAAAACATACGGATTGTCAACATCTACCCAGCAGGACCAAAATACTCATGCAATCCATATCCGGCAGGCAAATAATCACCGCATGGAGACACTGGAAGACAAGTAAATAAAATGGAATAAAACTCATGGAATCACCGACAGGCAAATAATCACCGCATGGAGACACTGCAAGGCAAGTAAAAATAGAATAAAACGAAAAGAGAATTATGGGAAGAGAAAGAAATTTATTGGAATATCACCACGCAATGATCATGATCGTGATCCAAATCTTGTTCGTCGTCCTTCGCGTTGCGTGTTGACAACAAATACTTTTTCCAAAAAATGAATTGTTGCCATGCCTCATGTGGGCTAGGATATTATAAGTC